TGCGCGCATGCGCGCGGCAGCGGAGGGGACGGGCTGCGGGTCCCGCCGGTGATTCCTTGCGGAGTGTCGCGCCCGGCATCCCGCTCGCGGTTTCTCCGGGGGAAAAGGATGACTGGAACGCAACCCGCGAGCCTTGCGTAGCTCTGCATTGCTGTACTGCTTCGTGTGACTCCACACGTTCGCCAAACGACGGCGTCGCACCTCCTGCAGTTCCCTTGGACACCTCCCCTCCCTCTTCCCTGTCCTGATCACCAGGTTTGCAAACGCAACAATCAAGAACAGCTAATCTCCAGGCTCCTAATTATCTGTTTGTGGAGGATGGTGCAAATCTCCTGAGATAACTTTCAGATTGCTGTCTGCTATGCTCCACCTTGGGCGTCATGTTAGCTTAATCGACAAGCTCCCAGTTACAATTATGATGTCCTGTTACCCAGAAGTGTAGGTGAAGAGGTCTAGAGTGTTTGTTTTTTTTTTCACTAAAAATGAGTTCTCATTAAGATATGAGAGCCTGTGTATTTAAAATATGAAAATGTCTTAAAGCTGCTTGAACAAACATTTCACAGGGCCAACTCTCAGTTACAGTGGGAGCAGCTGCCCTAAAGCAGCCCCTATCGAAAGTGGCCACTGAGCTTTACAAAATATTCACCGTGCCACCTTGCTTTTATCTTTGTTCTTTAGTTGTAATTACTGTGATCCAGTTAAAGTTACTGTGGTTAATTAGAAAGGCATGTCTGGTTTACTGGCCTGCAGGAGCTGTGACGCCACTAAAGCTCAGAAATAAATGCTGTTTGAGGTAACATGCTTCAGTTCAGATAGCCCAACCAGCTGTCATAAACCAGCTTGGCCTTTCAGCATAGCAGCAACACGAAGTTTCCAGTAAGAGCTGAAATAATTCCGTATTTCTCTCCCTTTTGCAACATCAGTGAAACTGTACATCAGCACAAGCAGAGCCTTAACTTATTACTTGTCATCCTCTTTGTCCCAGCTGTTCTTTCATGCAAAAATCTTCCTTCTTCCAGGCGTGGTGGTGAAATTATTAATATTTAAAATTCGAGAGGGCTGGCTCAGAAGTTTCTCCTAACTAAAAGAACATTCCTTTGAACTAAAAGCTAATGATCTGTGATTGTTGCCAATTCCCGGCTCCTGAGCTAAGATAATACTGGGTGTGCCACTTCCTTAGGCTCCACCAAGAGCCATCTCTCTGTAGTGTCACGTTATTTACTGCTTGATTCCTTCTTAGAATTGTGGCAGTTAGCAAGTTAATTAAGGACTTCATCCCTCCCAGGAGGATGTCTGGCTTTGTTATCATCAAAATGATTGGTTTTCCTCACCTTTTTCTTTCCCAACACAGAGGGAGATGCTGCCTAAATGTTCTCTCACTATGATGATAGTTAATAAAGCCGTTCTCTCTGACCTGTCCTGAATTGTACTTGCATTATTACACACTTGGGAGTCCCCTGATGTCCAACACAGGTTAATAATCACAGGATCTACTTATCAAAAAGGTCCTCATTAATAAAATCATAATATGCACCTAATGTTTATAAAACACACAGCCTTAATTAGAAATATATTTTAATTTACACTAAACAATGATAGAAAATTATTGAAGCTGTAAATATCCACTGTCCTGATCAAACAGCAAAAAAACACAAACAAAACGACCACAGAAAATGATGCTGCCCATCACTAAACCTTCTGAGAGTCAAGAATAAGTTTCTCCATCTCTTTTAGAAGTTCACAAAACAAAAGTCGCACCTACATTTCTGCTAAAAAAACAGAAACATGTTGAAAATTCCCAAACTGGGGAGAGGGATTTGGAAGAAACTGATACTTGAGCCACTGGGAAAAGGCTTTTCAGGTTCTTCGGCTTTCACAATACAGGCATCCTTACCAATATACATGTGGAACAAACCAAAAAGACCACACTGATCCCCAGTCTGAACACACCTGCAGACAACACAGCACTGGAGTACCCTGTATCCACAACTCCCCTTACTCAGTCGGGAGCTGGATTGGTCCAGAGGGCTGAGAAACAACATTCCCAGGTCTTTCTGTTCATACAAAGGGGTTGAGGGTTAACCTTAATACTGGAAGCTGCGTTTAGTCTGAATGTCATCAAGAATCTGCTGTAATTCCTCATCTTCAAATCGGCCCTCCAGGCTGCAAGATAAGAAAAATGTTACATTAAAGGTTTTAGAAATTATCTATCCCCTGGATTCATTTCAGACAGCCCTAATTCTCTCCTGTCAGTCTCAACACCATCATTACCCACCTGTACAGTACCACCAGAAACCATCTAAAACATTCCTGTTCAAATACCACTCTAATCCCTATGCAGTGCTTCCTCTTTAAATGACAAACCTCCATCTTTCCCAGAACTTTCTGCTGAGTAATTTCAAAACGTTTTATTAAAAAGGCAAGGCAGGTGCCTCTTAAATAGTCCATGAATAGCCTCTTAATAGTCTAAATGAAGTCCATGTAGCGTCATGCTGATAAGCCGGCCCAGTCTTGTTATGAAATCTTAGCATATAAGAAGCTAATTCAGGTGAATGTTTCATTCCCTCCTCCATCTCAGGCCATGAGGTAACAAATCAAGACACGAAGAAGTTACTGCTCCCCCACACACCATCCGCAGAACAGTTCATAGGAGCAATGTCAGTTACCACAATAGAAAAATACGACCCAAAAACCACAAACACAGCTGGGTGGGCTAAGAACCCTAATTTAAACTCCAGTAAATGTTGTCAGAAGCGCATTAGTGATGCTTTACAAATAGTGCCTCACTGTCAGATCAACGAGTAGGTGAAGAAAGACCAAGACCAAAGGTCTGGACTGAAGAGAGGGCATCTGTCCATCGCTGGCTTTAGACCACAGGAAAGTATACAGCAGTCTTTTTACCACGTGTAATACTCACCTAGGAATCAAAGCTTTCGCTTCCTCAGCTGTCTCAGGACACAAGTTAGCCAAACATGCCAATTCGAATTTATGGAGCTTTTTCTGGAGCAGCAAACTGTTAAGGAAAGACAACAACTTGATGAAATTACAAGTAAGACAGAAACATAAAAGGGCGTAAATGAAACCAAATAGGTATCTTTTTTCACTCTGCTTTGGCACTGAAGTCAATATTTTTTCAGGAGGAAAGACTCATTATATAATGGCATAGAGAAAAAAAAGTCACGTGTTAACTCGACTTCCCCTGAATTACTCTACAAAGTCTAGAAAATCCTCCCATTTAATGCAATAGCTGCCATTTCAATACTGGAAACAAAGCACTTCGGAAGGCTTGACCTAGACAAAGTACAACCCTCCATGAAGAACTATCATCAAATTTGTTGCCTCTTCATAAAGACAAGATTCAGCATTATAGTACAAATGAGGAAACACCACTAAACTGTACTTTCATAAAACAAAATCAGTATTATATGCCAAATTCTCCAGTACAGTCTTATACCCTGATTTTTCCACTCACCTACGGACACTGGCAATGGTTTCGCGGTTTTTGAAGCGGCTGAAGCGCGCTGTGTAGTTCAAGGTTTTCATGAAGACTTCTGAAAGCTCCTGCTCATCTTCTGCACTCTCATTCTGTTGCTTACGATGCTCAAGAAGCATATGTACTTCTGAATTTAGAAGAGTTTCCGCAGTTTCAAATTCTGCATTTGAATGAGTGAACACCACCATAAAAAACCGTGAAGCATGGATGAAAAAGTTTACATTAAAAGTTTATATTTAAAAAAAATTTACTCGAAAGGTTACTTGAGCTACTGAAATTTTAGTATCAGAAAAAAGTTTTAAACAATCTTAACAGATTTTTGTCCCCTTTCTTAGCCAATGCTCTTTGTTTTAGTTCATCATCACTGTATGTATTCCAATAACAAGAAAGTCTTTCAACATCAGCAGTACGAGCTGTTCAAAGCAGCAGGTTCAGAGGCTGCATCCCGGGCTGCGCTTCAGCACTGTTTTATAAAAGCCGTCGGACACAGCGCAGTGCTAGAATGGACAGGCAGCCTGTTATTTTGCACGGAGCAGTGAAGTAACTTGGGCTAGTTTTTTTGTGTAAAAACATTCAAAAAACAGTCTTTCAGGACTATGCTTTTGTTCATAACTCAAAAACGCAGCACAGCATCCTTTTTGTTGTTTTTTTTTTCTTTTTTGTTTTCTCCTCTTCTGGGGCTGCTCTGCGGCATAAATCGAGCTCTGGAATTTATACTGAATAGTTTTCAGAAAAAAAAACATACAGACTGTCAGCATCCCTAGTTACAACCCAGGCTATGGACTGCTGGGTTCCTAAAATACAGCACTATTCTAGTGTCAAGAAACATCAGTAGAAAAGTAGTGGTTACAGTAAACAAAAGAATCTTTTCACTGCAACCTGATATTAAAAATATTTTTTTTTATTCCTGTACACACACGTAGCGGTCCACATAAGACCAGCCATATCTCAGCAATCGCGGAGTCCTTACAAACACGGAAATGAGGTATTATCCCCGATTTCTATCACTCGGGGCTCTCTATCTGGCGTATCCGTGACCGGTGGGGCGGCCCGGCGGCGGAGCGGCGCTCCGGTCCAAGGACCCGCTCGGCGACGCCG